ATATACTGTATGCTGTACATGTATTTCCTCTTTTAGGATATCCTAGAGCCCTGCATGAGCTGCGAGCCGGCTCGATTGGCCCGACCTGACCCGGCCACTTTTCTACAGTACATAAACTTATCTTACAGATAAAACCATCGGAGCCGAGCAGCCAAGCGAACTCCTGTCACGCCGCCGAAGCCATCAGAGCTCCTATGCCATTATTTTTATGCCCATGTCCCTTTTTGCATTCGCGGTGGGGGCAGCTGCAGCTACCTTGAGCCGACGCCATTTAGACGAGAGGCTGTCTGGCTCCTGTTCTACCAGGAAAAATTTTCACGCAAGATAATATCCCCTTATATAAACGTGGAATGGAAATGTCAGTACTACAACACCTTGTAATTCTATGACAGAAGACTATAAAAGCTCCTTTGTCGTTCCAAAGGAAGTCTTCCTCTGAGATAAAAAATTTGAAGATGTTAATAGAAAAAAAATCTGAAATCAGGCTTTTATTACGTGTTCAGTGCGGCCTATTTCAATGTGACCGGTCACATGGTTGAAGAACGGTGTAGTTAAGCCAGAGACAACCGATAATATCTCAAATGTTTTAAATGTTTTTCGTAACAATCAGAAATGATGAGGAAGTGAACAGAAGAACATAGACTGAACATTTTTTTCTCTGGTCTGGTCGAGCCATACTGTGAAATTCGGCTGCCAGTCGGGTTTCCGGTTGAATGCGAGCTAATTCTTGAATCGGACCGATCGGGTCGGGTTCCGAAAAATCGGTCCATGCAGGGGTCTACATCGCAACCACAAAGTCACCTTGTTGGGCGAACATAGTCCCGCACTTTCCTGCTACGTAGTACAAGCTGTGCTCAATTTGGGCCGAGTATCGATTCCCAACTTCCTCATACCGCCCTCATACACTTCCCAAATTTACCCAACTTTAGGCCTTCGTTTTGCTATCTGGATTTACCCTTTTGAAAATAAAATTGAGGTTAATTTCCAAAATGGTGGCAAAATCCCGCATCCGAAATGGCAATAGTGACCAACTAAAAGTCAGGCAAGGAAGGGTTTAGTATCTATATTGGGTTATAGTGAGTCGCAGAGTTCAGTTCTATATAAGCTTCTTGGAAACGTTTATGGCTCTAGGTTATACCGACGGTTGAAAGTTTTACTTACAGAACAAGGGATAATATCCATTCCCCTGTATATAAGCCTGCTGACTATTCGTTTCCACCCTTTACAATCATTTGTTTATACTGCATTTAACCTGCAATCAAGTTCTAACCATTAGTATCGCTCGTGGTGGGTGAAAATGGCTCCTATCAGTATCCAGGGGTTAATATTCCTCACTGCCGCATCCGCCCCCAACCGAATTAGTCAGGATCAAGGTCTTCAATGTGATTTAGAAGCGTGCTGATATCTTTTCAGCAAATGAGAATTATCATTTCCTGGAAGTGAAACCTGAAACGCTTCCAAGGAATTCCTCATGCCTATGTTGGACTGTTGGGCTTCTCTGTGAGCCCGAGCAGACACAGCAAATATCCATTCGCGGCGTAAGACTGGAGGAGGAGCCATGGGGTTTCAGACCAGGCAAGTGGTTTGGGGAAAGGCATGAGTAAACGAAGACAGACAAGCGATGAAAGCTTTCAAATACACGGTAAATAATAAATGAGTGAGTGAGGCCAGTGAGTGTGTGTAAGTGAGCGAGTGAGTTCTTCGAGACGCGAAGTCGATATTATGTCTGTTGAGCTCGGAGAGGGTCTTATGGGTCTAAACAGCAACCAGACCAGGCTGCGCTACCTCGTCATTCGGTTAGATCTCACGATCTTCCGACCCCAGTTAATAGGTGGCATTCGACTACGTGGAGTCTGACAAATCCGTCGCCGATAAATTGTCCAGAGAAAATCTGACTTTAATCGATTAATCTTCTCCTTGATCTTGACACAGTGATCATCCTGCGCTAGGTGTCCGTTGGTGGGGCTCCTTCAGCCGTCAACTTCGCCAAACCTTGCTCAATACCTTGAATCACATTCTCCATGCGGAACGCCCTTTTGCTGAGGTGTTGGAAGCAAATAAATTAAACTAAATATTGTAGAGGCCTATCGTAGGCCTTACCCTGTTTACGTTGCTGCATTTGGAATATGTTTATTTTGTGAAAACTTTTTTTTTCCAAGGTGATTTTTTTAAAAAGCAAATAGATATTCACATGAAACCTCCCTGCACCTGTATTTCGCCTTTCTTTGCATTTACATCGATTGAAGTTACAGTCCACTCTGCAGCGACAAAACTTTAGAATGAAGCTCCCAATCATTCAATCAATCTGCACTGGCTGTAAATGGTAGATTGGATTGCAAGTGGACGAAACCCACTCCGACTATTGTAAAAAAAAAAAGGATACGTGAATGCAGTGTCTCATTTGTGAGTCCCCTCGTTCACGCGAAAATTTGCTCCCCAATCTATTCATTTCCAACGCTATATCATCCCAGATGAACCCTTCGTCTCATCATTACCCTTCGGATAAATTCCCCTTGACGCTTTTTTTTAAAGAAACCTCTGCCCAGGCAGGTACCAGTAAAAAGAAGACGAGAGGGACTTATTCAATTAAGATTTGTTGGAGGAGGCTGCATTCAACTTAAGATTAAGAACCTCCTAAGACCTCTTTTAGTTAACGGTCTTCTTCAATAAAATATGACTCCTTTGGGGTGAAATAACTCTTTAGATAGAAGGCTCCTTCATCTTCCTTAAATGACGCTTTTGCATTCTGGCCTAAAAAATACCTAGGAGCAGATCCTAATAGAAGCAAAGGGGCGCTCTTTAGTTTCCTGCGGCCACACCCTAGTGTCTCGCCATGACCAACCGGGACAAGAAAAGCTTGGCACCGTCTGCTTTTAGACTATTAAGCAAAGCGATAGTTTAAACCAGTGACATAGCCATGATTTCGCCAATGGGGAGGGGCTAGAACTTCCCTAACTTCTCCTCAGCAGGGGGAGGGTGGCAGACGTATTTAGACCAGATGTGGGGGGCTTCAGCCAGTGGGCCAGGAGTCCAGAAAATGCCAAGAATGTAAGGGAAAATATACGTTTTCTTCATACTTTCAAAATGGCCAAGGCAACAAACACGAATCATAGATGAACATGCAGTACATGTTTAGCAAGTTTTCTGCTCTTTATCTTTCTATTCTCTACTCAACATATTTGTCAAATCTCGTTACAACGAACTTCAAGGGGGTGTCCTGATTATTTCATTGTACTGAAATTTTGTTGCATCGAATATTACTCGAAATAAGTTCAAAAGAAACATTCCTTATTCACATTTGCTATGTCTTCCAACGGACAGACCACAGATGCAGTAATTTTCCACTTTGTTTTGTTTGGAGAAAATCAGTAATTTTGGACTGCACAAGAGTTTGTTTCCTTGTCAATGTCATCGTAGAGCGCACCACGCATTCTCTTTCGTTTTGGTCTCAGAGCCGCTTTTCTCAACTTTTCTTCCATTTCGGCACGATCCTTCGAGAACGTGGATAACGTAGAGGGAGTGATGCCGAATTCTTCTGCCACGCCTCCTTTTTTCCTGCCGGAATCTACTGCTTCCACTACTTTCATATTTTCTTCTGACGAGAACTGCCGGCGTTTCTTGTTTCCCTTATTAGCCATGTCTGCGGGATGAGGCGCACAGGTACACTGTGTTGTAAGTGATGAGGTTTTGGCCACGACTAGCCTGCGCCGACTACTGTACGTTCCTCCTTGCGCTAACACTTCTTATGCCTCAAGCGTGTGAAACAGAGAATTCAGACTCTCTCAAGATTCAAAGGGAAGAAGGGGGCTGTCGCGAACAATAAACGATCGTCTCTTCGTAAACAATCAGGTGTAAGATATTTTTTCGTTATAACGAGTGACTATTATACGTACAAAGAAAATGGGGAAAAAGCGTTCGTTGTACTGAATTATTTGTAGTAACGATTTTCGTTGTAAGGAGACCTACAAAGTACTATTACTAAGGGCCATCGGCCGGGGCTTGGAAATATTTTCGTTATAGTGAGATTTTCGTAGTAACAGAATTCGTTGTAACGAGATTTGACCTGTACTTCACCGGTCTCCATGCGCTGGAAGTAGCAGGTGTATTTGTACTGAAGTTTGCGACTGCGGTCCGTGATATGATAATACATTTTAAGTGAATTACTCCTCTTGGCTAGTCCATTGGAAATTACTTTACGGTGATAATTCGCGTTGATAATTCCAGGTATTTTTTCAAAAAATGTTTGTAGACTGGAAGTATCCCAGGCCAATGACTGGCACGAGTGACTTTCAAGGTCACTGCATTCGTATATCCTGGCCTCAGATTCGGATCCCCGGCTTCCTAGTGGAATTCGTGTCTGGATCTTGTTTTTTTTTTAATGTATGTGAAAATTTTTTGTTGAGTTCATTAAGGTAGGCCTAGGCCTGAACAGAAAACAGCCAGTGGGTTACGCCAAGGCCCAACGTTAGTGAGTTAGGTAAAGAAAGGGAGGGGGGTGGAGGTGAGATTGTGTTTGAGGTTGAGGTTGAAGATATGAAATGCCTTTGATGAATGGTTTTCACATTACTACATTAAATGATGATTAAACGTGCATAAATGAAAATTTTGTAATTCCCCCCCCCCCGCGACATAGGGCCGCTGGCACCAGGTACGTTTTAAAATTCTTTCGCATTCATTTGATGATGACTTCTCTCTCCTTCGAAGAATACATGAGAATTTTGTAAATATATATTCTTCGCATGCTTCCATGGATACTTTTCATGACAGCTCAAATTCGAAAATTGATTGTCTGGTGGGCATCCGCCACTTCAGGTGGAAATAAGGGCATAACAATCGTTTTCACTTCCTATCTGAGTCAAAATCCAAGCTCAAGACAAAATCCAGAGAATGAAGAGCCATACCAAGAAAAGGTTAAAAAGGATAATTTGAAGAAGAAAAAAACTAATTTTCAGAATGATAGATGTTTATTTCAAAACCCTATGGCGTAAAACAGCAATCATTTAGTGCTTGTAGGGAATAAATCCACCAAAAAGAAGGTCCAGCAGCATCTGGAGAAGGTCAGGGGGAAGGAACTGCCCGAGAAAGTCCAAAAGGGCATCAAGACCTAAAAATTAAAGAAAGCATCTACGTCAACGTTCCTTTTCGATATAAACCATGAAACACATAGATAAGGAATCTAACATAAATTTGAAAATTTCAACTCGGAGCAGGAAGAGAAAAAGCCATACCAAATTCCAAGAGCATATCCAAGAGATCCTGAAGGAATCGGGTCTTCATCTGGACAGACTTGGGGATGGGAATCTTGGCAACAGGGAAAAGCATGTCCCACAGCATCTGGAGAAGGTCATCTGGGATGTCAAGTCCAAGTTGGGAAAGGAGGTCTTGCAGAAGATCAAAAGCGGAATCTCCAAACATATCAAAAAGCAGTGACATCAGGGACATGAGCCAGTCCCACAAGTCCTGCCTAGAGGTGAGATGGTGTGACTTAGGGAAAAAAAGGCCCAAAAGGAGGTCGAGAAGCCAATCGGGAACGTCGAGACCGAGCATGGACAGAATGTCGTTAAGTTGGTCAAAGATGTTGTCTCCAAACATGTCCAGGAGAAGCTGGAAAAAGGTGGAAAGCCAATCAAACAGGTCCTGCTTTTGCTGCTTCTTTCCAAGGGGGAAGAGTTGGTCCCAGAGTTCCTGGAGGAGACCGTCGGGGAGGTCGAGACCAAGCATACTCAGGAGGTCTTGCAGCATGTCAAGAGCGCCCTCTCCGAACATGTCAAAAAAGAGCTGGAGCATGTCCATGAGCCATTGATCAAGGTCCTGCTTCTCAGTTATCTTGGCGACGGGGTGAGACTTAGGGAAGAGCATGTCCCAGAGTTCCTGGAGGAGACCGTCGGGGATATCGAGGCCGAGCTGGGAAAGAAGGTCTTGGAGCATGTCGAGAGCGGAATCCCCAAACATGTCGAAGAACATCTGGAGAAGGTAGGGAAGAGCATGTCCCAGAGTTCCTGGAGGAGACCGTCGGGGATATCGAGGCCGAGCTGGGAAAGAAGGTCTTGGAGCATGTCGAGAGCGGAATCTCCAAACATGTCAAAGAACATCTGGAGAAGATCCATGAGCCATTGATCGAGGTCTTGCTTGGTCATGGGTTTGTGTTGCTCCTTTCCAAGGGGGAAGAGCATGTCCCAGAGTTCCTGGAGGAGACCGTCGGGGATGTCGAGGCCGAGCTGGGAAAGGAGGTCTTGAAGCATGTCGAGAGCGGAATCTCCAAACATGTCGAAGAACATCTGGAGCAGGTCCATGAGCCATTGATCAAGGTCTTGCTTCTCAGTGATTTTGGCGACTGGGTGAGGCTCGGCCAAAACAGCCTTCACAACGCGATGATGGCTTTTGGGCTGTAACGCCTTCACGACGCGATGGTGGGAATTCCTGGTGCTGGCAGCCAAGGCGGTGCCCATAAGGGCGACCACCAAGAGGCAAACAACTGTGAAACGCATCCTGCCTGTCTTGAAAGGGAGAGAGAAACCCCTCGTGTAGAGGGAAGGTATCGATTATGAATTTGAATGTGTATGTCTTACGCATTTTTTTTATCTTATTGACAGGGGTTGAGTGACAAGGAATATTATATACAGGATGTACTTTCATAATGCAGCTGTGATTATATAATGATTTGTGAAACTCACTCGCTTCAGCTTCTATGATGAACTCTGAAGTGAACCTGTGCTTGTGATAGTTGTGTTGGGTCTGCCCCCCTATTTATACTCCGCTAAACCCCGGATCTTGGAGTTCCTCTTGGTATTTTTCCCAGGTTAACTTATCATAATGCAGCATCCTTGTTCACCAGAGTATTCCAAAAGATTTGCTTTGGGTAACATCCGGGAGACTACATAAGGACTGATATGAGCTGCCTATGGTGGAAACTTTTGCACCACTCGGTAGCCATCGAAATAGCAACTCCGTGTAATGGGAATTGTGTCAGGTGTGCCTGATCCAGGTCCGTCTCCTTGTGAAATTCCTGCTTCTGTTCCACGTGTGCCTTTTCTCTGTACTTTACGTTATTTCTCACAATATTTTACCTTCTTTTGGATCGACGTTTCTGTCAATAAAAAGGAATATAAAGTGTTTCTCTGAGATGACACACCGAAATTGGCCTAAAATCCTTTGAATGCTGGTCAGAGTTGAATCGTATTAGGTTGTGCTTCCAGAAAGAAGGGAATGAAGGCTCCTTGCAGTCTGTATAGTCCTTGTAAGCCTAAATTTCACCATTTTGAATTTTACTTTCATATAGTCTTAGATAGAAATTTAGCATCTTATATATTACGGGTGGCCAAACTTCCTGACCTGACCAGCCGCATAACGAAATCTTCATATGACCGAGAGCGGCAAGATTCGCTCCAATATGCGCATGCATTCTCTCCAATAGTACTCCAGCACTCCATTATTTTTTAACACAGAGATTCACATCCTACTCACTGTCCCATCACGACAGAATTGCTGCTGGTCTCCTTGTGGGTCTCCATCCTGGATGTGAGCTGCTTGAAGTCGAACTGATCTGTTGTCAGGGCAATATGGAGAAGTTCCGTGAGGTGTTGGTCTGTAAGCACCGCACGGTTTTTCGATTTTACGAACTTGAGCACGGAGTACAGTGACTCGCAGCAGCATGTTGTGCCAAATATTGAAATGAGTCACCCGCTAGTCTTCCTGAGTTGTGGATTCTTCGATCTTGGCACTTGTTTGCAGAACTCGATTCCAGACTCTGATCAATGCACCATCTTTAGGCCCTAATCCTCCTGGTGTTCCAGCATTTCCATTTCTCCAGGAGGTGTATCCACTACCATGATTTTTGGGGATTGGACATCCGTCGTTAGTTACATCAGCCATGAATGTTTACATCAGGAAAGAAAAGCGGGGTTTTCATCTCTTGCAATTCTTCAAACCCGTCACGAAAATCATCCTTTAGTCCTTGCAAGTTGCTGTATTCATCGAGTTTCTGCTATTCCACTACGATTTCAGGGAATGCTTCTTCCATATTCTTGAGACGAGGAAAATGGCTGAAGTCTCTCGACTTAAAGTCCATTTACAGAAGCCTCAGCTTGTTCTGCAAGCTGAAGACAGTCTGAGCAAGATCAGAAATGAGCTTACCCTGTCCCTTGAGTGCCAAATTCAGAGACTGCAAATGCTGCATAACATCAGTGTGATGCGCCAGATCCACCAGCCACTGTAGATCCTCCAGTAGTAGATAGGACTTTTTATTTTCTTCATGAAACGCATTGATTGGCTCCAGCTGTTCCACAAACTTAGTTAATACATTGCTGGTTTGTCTTCAAGATCAAGCTCTTCGATGAAGTTTTTAAGCAGTTGGTGATTCTTCCCGTTCGAACAGATGAAATTGACGATTTGCAGGACCGTTTCCATGACATTTTCATATTTGAAGTGTTTGCCTGTGAGTTGTTCACGATAAATGAATGATGCCATGAACAGGGAGAAACTCCGCGATCTTTGGATCACTTTTCAAGAGTCCGACAAGGCTTACATTTTTTCCCACCGTTGCTGGAGCTCCGCTCGTTGCAACACTGACAAGTTTGTCCAAGGGTACACCAGCTTTTTCCAATGCGTCAACGTCAACACCTCGAGTTGCTTCTTTCAGTGACATCAAGTCTAACATTTCTTCTTTTACATTCATGTTGGCTGAGACAGCGAACAAATATTGATAGTTGTGGTTTGATTTGGATGTCTGTGGACTCATCCTGTGCTAAGCTGAACGTCAGAGAGTTCTTTAACTCATTTTGGATCTTGGTTGAAACATCAGCAATGATCTGGGAGATATATCTCTCTGTAGCGTGCCGCGAAGTTCGATTCTGGCTTAATAGCGTTGAAGTTTTTTGTTGTCAGGATTCCAAATTGCCACTACTTCTGCGATGTCCTTCGTAATGAAACCTCCATCTGAATAAGGGCGTATGGTACGAGCGATATTCTATGTCATGACAAAACTCGCTTCAACTGTTATATCTGCTTCTTTACTGAACGTCGAAAGGAGCGATTGCTGACTGCTGAGGCGTGCTTTTAAAGAGGCTAGCTTGTTTTTCCTCAAGTCTGATCTTGGAGGATGTTTAGACGAAAACCTTTTGTGGTTAGCTTCATAGTGACGTTTCAGGTTGCTCGCCTTGTGGTGTGCAAGCGATGTATTGCAGATGAGGCACAGAGGCTTGCCACTTTTCCCGTGAAAGCTAACTCTTCTTCCCATTCTGGCTTAAAACTTCGGTTATCATCATCATGCTTTCGTTTCTTACTATTGATAGTTGAAGGCTCACTCGATGCCATTGTCTATCCAAAACGAACGCCAATTAATTCTAAAATTATGAAATTTTGACTTGCAAACACCAAACCTTGATAAATGCTGACGAATTCCAGTTACAGTAAGGCGCTATTCTGCACGGCCAAGCCAAGGAGAACTAACAGGGCAAACTCCTTTCATGCCCCAATAACACATGTGCAGCAGGGGCCTTCCTTTTCTTATCTAATCCTTTCACACACGAACTCTCGCACGTGGAGCGGCGAGAATGACGCTTGCTTAAAGTCTGTTTGGAAAAGGCGTGATCGTTCAGTAGTGGCTAGCAGGAGTATAGCTGCCGCCGTAAGACATTAGGCAGAGCCTATGGGCTGGACTCGTTTCCATCTCTTTACCTCGCTCGTCAACCTTGATTAATTTGTGAAAGCTTGCAATGCAGCACTGGTGATATCCATGGAAAGGTTAGACACCTGTTCATAATGTTTTATTTTCAACAGTGTCTGCATGTTAGGCCTATCACCGTTTCAGAATTCCACAATCGACAGATATGCATGCGAGTACAGATAGCTCAAGGAAAAGGAAAATGTTCGGATCCGAGCGAATGTAGTGAAAGCTCCAATCCTCAAGTAAGAGATGCCCTTTATTTTCTATACTGCCACGGTAAGGGAGTAAAAGCTTGTGACCCCGGTGAAAGGGGAGGGGGGGATTTGACCCTTGACCTATACTTTCAGCCCCCGCCGCTAGGTGTCGCTAGCTAGCCCCGGTGATTGTGTATAGTAAGCGTACATGAAATTAAAAGTTAAACTTCCAACTTGGAATGGAATGGCCAGGGAAGCCTCTAGTGACCCTTGTAGTAGGAAAGTGTCGTTGAAGTGTCCTGACCCAGAGCCTTGAAGGACATCAGGTCTCATCAACGGTGGCCTCATGGTCCCTTGGGGGCCTGCCCACTCGAGGACACCCTGAGAATGCGCTCCTGCATTTTTCTACACTTATCCTCACTGCTGTTCTATCCAGGCATCCAGAATGCCTGGAAAGACGACTGAGGAAAAAGGGCCCCTCCTCGCTCCAGGCGACAGCTCTCTCTTGCCGCATCCTCAAAAAAGCCACCCTATCGTTCCTCCTCTCCGAAGCCTCCTTCTGTGCAAAAGAAAATGACACCTGCATTTTTTCAACCAATTCTGCACCGTATCTTTCCCCTTCTCATTCTAGAACGCCTCCCTCTTCGCCTACCAATTCCTCTCTCCCCTCATTCGCTGCCAAAAGCACAATCCATCAAACCTCTCCTGCCAGCACTTCCCAAATTCAACCTGCCATTAACCCAAACTTTATTTCGAACCCGCTGTTCGTGCAGCCGCTTCCACCGAAATTCCAGCAGAAGATTGCCTTTGTTAGGGCTTTCACGAACGCATTTCCTCTAACTCAGCTGCTTGACATCCGCCCCACTATCCCGCAGGATTCGTCTTGAGCCTAAGTAAACCGTCCGACGTCACGCGCATTGCGAGTAAATGGGCGGAGTCAGAGATAGGAGGCGAAGCTTTCCCTGCCGAAAGTAGGACCCCTATCATGAAGTTCGTAGTGAAGGGCGTAAGGATCGATGAGGACATTAACACTATGAGACGTCCTTGCATTAGAGAACGGGAATTCCTTCGCTGAGAACGGCATTGTTAGGATGCGCAAGACCAAGACCGGCGCGCCTCTTCCCCTCGTCCTTGTAAAGATTATTGATTCCCCTAACACGCGAGACATCAGCAAAGATGGTGCGCTGACGGTAGGCTGCCTACGCCTGAGGGTGGAAGAATTTGTTCTTCAACCCAGAATCATCCAATGTTTCAAGTGCCTCCGATATGGACACCACATTGGATAATGCAAGGCGGACCATGACACCTACTCTTACTTTGCGGGCAAGGACCACGCCTCAAAGAACTGCCAGACCAAAAACAACTGGCTCCTCCTTTAATGCAGCCACTGCCTGGGAAGCCATATGGTGAACTGCGCCGCCTGCCCCAAACGGCAGGAAAGAAGGCGGCAGATCGCCAGTGACCCCAGATTTGCCAGCTCTCTTCTAGCCAAAAGATTCAAGCGGATTTAAGAAAGCAAACGAACCCTGGAACTTTCTCTAAGCCCGCGTTCAATTACCTGCGGCCCTCCTCCCCTTGGACAGCTACGATGCTCTTCTCTGCTTCGCCCCCCTCTCGCGGGAGGCGAAGC